CGCTCTGCTCCTGTTAGTATCATGGCTGCCGAGCGTTGGACTAATTGAAGCTTCCGAGCCGTCTTCAAAGGCAATCCCATGTAGAGAGCATTGCAGTAGTCTATACGGGATGTAACCAGAGCGTGGACTACCGTGGTCAAGTTGGACTTCCCAAGGTACGGGCGCAGCTGGCGCACAAGTTTTAACTGTGCAAATGCTCCCTGGTCACTGCTGAAACCTGGGGTTCCAGGCTCAGCGATGAGTCCAGGATCACACCCAAGCTGCGAACCTGCGTCTTCAAGGGGAGTGCGACCCCATCCAACACAGGCTGTAACCCTGTACCCTGTTCGGCCTTGCGACTGACCAGGAGTACCTCTGTCTTGTCTGGATTCAATTTCAATTTGTTCGCCCCCATCCAGACCATATGTATTACATTGTTTTGAAAAAAGTCTATTCCTCCTAACATCATTCTTGTAATTTTGTTTCCAAAACAATGTTACTGATTGTATGACCAGACTCGAACAAGCAATGATTGCAAATAAAATTTTCTATCAATTCTCACACACTTATGTTAGGTAAAATACAGCCAAGTGTAGGCAACAATACAGTTACATCTTTAACCATCTTTCTATTTTCCTGGAGAGCACACAGAACTTGAAGTGTTGGAAAGTAGGCTTGTGCATTTCGGCTGAACCTCAATCCGTTTCTGCTGGCCAAATTTCAGGAAACCCCTGGATTCATTTTCATATGCCGCCCGAAAATAGGCGGGTACCCAAATAGTCATTTTTGGTCCGCAGCCGAAAAATGTGATTAGTTCTGACCCAATGGTGGCAATTGGTGTCCAGGCTTCCCTTCCCATCATTTTAGAGCTTCCAGGATGAAAATGGCCACACTTGGAGGACACACCTACCACTGTTAGCCCATCAGGTTTCATAATTTTGGGGTCATCCTCTGATTTTTAGAAATTTATTTTCTTTTTTAGAGCACAGAGAGAAATATAAACAGAGAAAAATGGTTTGCAAAGGAATGAAATTATAGTAGGTATTGTATGTAACTAGGTAGTAGTTTGCTAGGATTGTTATTATTATTATTATCATTATCTTTTGAAATATAATAATTATTAATTGTTAATCTTTTAAAAGTATTTTCTGAAGGAGGGGAGGGGAGAAGAAAAAGAAGTTCAAGGCTCTCAAATATTTTTAAAGAAAAGCTCATCAAGAGCAAAGATGCTCTTTCTTTCTCCCAAGTCCCAAACACATCCGTGCGCACGCCCCACCCCCACCCCTGTCCCACACTTTCCCAATTTCCAGTCCTATTAAATAAAAAGAATCAGAAAAATGAAGGAAAGTAAAAAGAATCAATTCTAGATACAAGCAAAAAAATAAAGCTGAGAATGAGCAGCAAGATAAATGGGCTGAAGCACTACTCTAGAGCAACTGAGAGCAATGGAGTAACTCACCTCATTAAATAAACACAGCTTGTGTAAGACATGTCATGGCATTCTTCTATTCTGATTGGCCCAACAGGCAGGGCTCAGCTCACAGGGAAAGCCTGTGCAAGCATGCGGCAGCCTCTTTGTGCGCCACGTGATGCCGAATAGGAGAGGAGGAGCCGTGATCGGCTGCTGCATGGTCTGTTTTTGAGGCCTTACCATTATAGCTAGCCAAACAAGCTGGAGTGGCCGAGGGAAACTGACCAAACCAAATTCTTGCACAAGCTTACTGGAAAGGAGTAGCTTGTCAGCAGAACCTTCAAATGTGCCAAAACAAACCCAAAAAATGCAAAAGCTTGGTGAGGTCAGACCTCCTATATATAAACATGTGTTCAGCACAAGTGGAATACTGCAGACTATAATTATAGGTCTATGTGAACAGGGATATTTTACCTGTTATCAGAATATACAGAATGAAAAGTACCGATTTTCACCTCAGTGTTTTCTGTCTGGCAGCCCCATCCATACTGCTGAGAAGGTGTTTTTGGTAGGACCGAATTTGAAGGTACCGAATGAGCTGGGGCTGACCTGTTTCAGATATTTTAAGTCTTAGTGCGAAACCATAACAGTAGGGGAATATAGTATCAGAATTGCATCAGTTGTATTGTACAAAGCGCATAATTCCCAATTAACTCTCATTCTCACTGAATCCATTTATCCCCAGTGAAGTTAAATACTGCCTTTTTTCTCATTTGTAATCTTGAGTGTCACATAGGCACGGAGTTCATTTTTCCATAGCAGTAGGTGGCTGGCAGGAAACCCTTCTGAGGTCCCTGTGCCATACACCCATTTTTGTTTTTAACATTTCTTCTGTTTGTCATAATGATAAGCATTATCTTTACAAGTCACTTTGTGTGGGCTTTCTTCATACAAGTAACATTGTGTGGGCTTTTTTCGTGCTCCTTTATGTTAAAAAAATCACTCTGGCTTTCCAAACAATTAATATTAAAGGTCGTAGTATGTGGCCAAATGGGTGTATGAGTTCTGACATAAATTACTCTTCCATAATCCTGTAACACCACCCAAGGATTTTTTTAAAAAAATATATTTCCTTAATTATAGTATTGTAACATCTGAATCAATAGTGTGATATTATAAGTTTCATTCTTTGTGACTTTTTGTATCATGTACCTCTGATATTAATAACATTGGTGATAGAAGTACAGACTTGGTCTAATAATTTGGAAATATGTACAGGAGGTAGCTAGACATTTGAAGGGTAAGTGGCACAGTTATTGCAGTTGAATAAGGAAGTGCTCTGATTAATAACACAGACTTCTGTTTTTCCTCCAGTTTCTTCATAACATTTTATCTTTCTTATTTCCACCTTTACTTTTTAAATACTGTATTCAGTATGTCGATACAGAGATATTGTTCATTTGCAGAGACAGGAATTTTTCATTGTGGATGGGAGCATGACCAAATTCCATTGGAGTTTTCTATTCTATAAAAAGTAGAATTGTTTTCCTGAATTGTATCACAGCACAATAGCTGGGTTTCATGTTGTCACTTTGCCAAGGTGCACAGACACTGGCTTTCAGAATAGCAAAATCTTTTGTTGCAACGATTTAGATAAGCACTCAGAAACAAGGAAAAGGGAACATGACAGAATAGAACAAATGTTTTAAGCAGAATCGTTGCTCATTTGAATATTTGACGACGCTTGTGCATTTGACGACGCATGTTAGTCTTTTGCTGCTGTTGTTTCTGCCTCTGTTTTGAACAACAGGCATTACTTATCCTGGTGACTAAGAATAGGTCAGGTGTCTTGAGCGACTCTAGATGAGCATTTTAATTGAGCTGTTTGGTGTGTAATTAAGATGTGATGCAGTCAAACCAAATTGATACTTGTGAAACATCACTGAGCAGAAAAGGATTATTTTTAAAATGCAGCAGTATTCTTGATTTTAGCTTTTCATCATTTTGTGTCTGTTCACATCTGTTCTTTTTGTGTCTGTTCACATTTTCTCTAAGCCAAAAACTTTATATCTAGTATCATAGGTAAAAGAGAAAGGCTGGGACCCTTCCTTCCTTCCTTCCTTCCTTCCTTCCTTCCTTCCTTCCTTCCTTCCTTCCTTCCTTCCTTCCTTCCTTTTTTTTTTTTGCCTACCCAACGTGCTGAAAGTAAGAGTGAATATGGATTTGTGCGTCCTTGTTTATCTAGAGCTGACTACAAAATTATTTATTTATTTATTTAATGCCGCCCTTCTCACCCCAAAGGGGACTCAAAGCAGCTTACGATATATATATATATATATATATATATATATATACACACACACACACACACACACACATCACACATACACATACAATACAAAAATAAACTTGGATTCTGCTCGTCCCAAGACAAACTGATCCTGCAGCCTAATTGAAATGCCACATGAGGTTTATTACCTTCCGTGGCATGGATTGTGAGTTTGTGGATGGAGTGCTAAAGAATTATTTCTTTGCTAGATTTTTATCTCAGTGACATTCTAAGTGAATATTTGTAGCTGGATATGATGGACATTGCATTGCTGTTTTAGGGCACCAGCAATACTTCATTGCAGGTTTTTGAAATACCATATTTGAAGAATATTGCACTTACTGTTTTTTTGGGGTTTTTTAGTAATTAGTGGTTACATGTTGAAAGATTATAAAAGTTTACTACGTGACAGAATGCATAAATGGACTTGTGCTTATTTGAATACATTTTTAGTGCTAAAACATTCCAGCAAATATATAAGAATAAATGTTTCTGTATACAGTTGGTCTTTGGTATCTACTGGGGTTTGGTTCTAGAACCTCTGTAGATACCAAAATCTATTGAAGTTTAAGCTATTTTAAGTAGTAAAATAGCAAACGGCTCAAACCAATGCCGGAGTGAGCCTGAGCATCTGTGAAATGATGGGAGGCTACAGTAGGGTATACTTACATATCAACATATGAGACAGTTTGTATATATGACAAAATCAGGATTTGTGGATATGGAAGCCAACTGCATGTACTATTTCTTAGTGGAAATTATCTCTTTGTAGTATGTTGCAGTGGAGTCAAGAACTGAGTGACAAAAAGAGGCCAGATAAAATGGTTTGAACGTGTCCCTTTTTTAACTTGCTGCAAATAAAAGAAAAACTGGCTAGGTACATTTTAAGATATGTTATTCCCCCAGTGCAACCTAAGGCACAGCTGGTTATAAAAATAGAATTTCCTTTTCCACACTGCCTACTATTCTCTGTGTCTATTAAGTCTCTAGTGACATTGGAAAGAAATATATGGAAAGGGCACATCAAAGCTTAATTTAGTGGCTACCCTTCTGAGATGAAAGGGAACTTCATGAGCAGTTAAGATGTTGGCCTTTTTTCCCCCTGACAGGTTTTCTGGCATTATAATTAGACTTCACTGTGTTAATTCTTTGTTGACGGAGTTAAGAAACAATGTATTCCCCTCTCCCCAGTTCTGAATTGGATCAGTGACCTATTTTTATTGAATGTCTATTTGAAACTTCTATATTTATTGTAACATATTTTTAATTTTATTTTTACAGGCTTGGGCAAAACAAAACGAAAGACCAGTGCCAGAGATGCTTCACCGACCCCTAGTACTGATGCAGAATACCCCTCCAATGGCAGTAGTGCTGATCGGATTTATGACCTGAACATCCCAGCATATGTTAAATTTGCTTATGTGGCAGAGAGGGAGGACGAACTGTCTCTTGTGAAAGGATCTCGAGTTACTGTTATGGAAAAATGCAGTGACGGCTGGTGGAGAGGGAGCTACAATGCACAAATTGGCTGGTTTCCTTCAAACTACGTAGTAGAGGAAGTTGAGGAAGCAACTGCTGATTCACCGAGTTTTCTAAGTTTGAGAAAAGGAGCATCTATGAGTAATGGCCAGGCCATGAAAGTACTTCATGTTGTTCAGACGTTGTATCCGTTCAGTTCTGTCACGGAAGAAGAGCTCAACTTTGAAAAAGGTGAAACCATGGAAGTCATAGAGAAACCTGAAAATGACCCAGAATGGTGGAAATGTAAAAATTCTCGAGGGCAGATTGGTCTTGTTCCCAAAAACTATGTAATAATCTTAAGTGATGGTCCTACTATGAACACTTCCCATCCACCCCCAATAAGCTATACTGGGCCTTCTTCTACTGGACGCTTTGCAGGAAGAGAATGGTATTATGGGAATGTTACTCGACATCAGGCAGAATGTGCTTTAAATGAGAGAGGAGTGGAAGGGGACTTCCTCGTCAGAGATAGTGAATCTTCGGTAAGTGGAGCTTGTGTCAAAAACCCAGATGCAGCAACATACTTGAATTTGGTTTTGCAATGTTTTGCATAAGGCCAGGTGTGTGATGTAGTGATTTGAGTGGTGAATTATGACTCTAGAGTTCAAATCCCTTCTTAGTCATGGAAAGCTACTTCAAGACGTGGCCAAGTCAGTGGAAGACAAAGGTAAATCCCCCTCTGAACAAAACTTGGCAAGAAAAACCCACAAATGTTGAGCATCCTTTCTCCAGAATTCAAAAATTCAAATAACTTCAAAATTGTATTGTCGAAGGCTTTCATGGCTGGAATCACTCAGTTCTTGTGGGTTTTTTCGGGCTATATGGCCATGTTCTAGAGGCATTTCTCCTGACGTTTCGCCTGCATCTATGGCAAGCATCCTCAGAGGTGAGGTCTGCTGGAAATGGGAAAAAAGGGGTTTATATATCTGTGGAATGACCAGGGTGAGACAAAGGGCTTTTGTAAGTTGGGCTGGGTGTGAATCTTTCCACTGACCACCTTGATTAGCATACAATGGGCTGACAGTGCCTGGAGCAAACTCTTCTTGAAAGGTGATTAGATGTCCCTGCCTGTTTTTCTCTCTGCTGTTTTTGCTGTTGCAATTTTAGAATTTTTTAATACTGGTAGCCAGATTTTGTTCATTTTCATGGTTTCTTCCTTTCTGTTGAAATTGTCCACATGTTTGTGGATTTCAATGGCTTCTCTGTGTAGTCTGACATGGTGGTTGTGAGAGTGGTCCAGCATTTCTGTGTTCTCAAATAATATGCTGTGTCCAGGTTGGCTCTGCTATGGCTGACTTCTCTGGCTGATTAGTCTGCAGTTTTCTTTTCTGGATTCTTGTTTGGTCCCTTCGTTTGGAGTACTTGAGTCCAGATCTCTTTGGATTATCCACATGTGATTCTTCCTTTTTCTTTTTGCTCGGATTTTTTTCTCCTGTTTTTTTGTATTTTTTTTTAAACTCTTTTCTCCATGCATTCTCCTCCTCCTTTTTCCTCCTTTCCTCTCTCCTTCCATCCTTCCTCCTTCCCTTACCTCCCCCTTTCTCCCTCCCTCCTTCCTTCCCTTCTCCCCTTTATCTCCTCAACCCACCTCCTTCTCTCACTTTACCT